GAGTATCTTTATAAAGAAACAAACTGTATTGTTTACCATGAACTAACATCCATAAAGTCAGACATGGTCTGGCTACATGCACCCGTCTTCCCTTCCAGTGTCAGCTTTATAAATGTTGCCCTGAAGTCAGCTGTGCAGCTCCTTTAGGCAGGTGGGGGCGTGGTGGACAGCAAGTCACACCCAGCAGCGGCCTCCCTGGGCCACATCCCCACATAGTTGCTGCTATAGGGGCCCCATTTGTGTCTTCCCATTTCCTGAACATCTGAGGATTTCAAATTCTTGTCAACATGAAGAACAAGACTTAAGTGGCCCCAAATCATCTGTTCTGTATGAAGAAAATGCACAGGAGAAAGATTAAGGGCAAGTGAAACTTCACCATGGGCTCCCTTCCCCAGCCTTCGAGCACCGCCGGGCCAACATCAAACTGCACGTGCACGCACATCTGAACGCAGTTTAATGGGCTTTTGACTGGTTCCCTTGGTGTGTGGGGCTAAATTTTCGTGTTAAGAAACTGGTGTATATAAATGTGTTCAGCTAAATTGTGTGTCAAAATGCTGATGCTCTTTTCCTAAAGACGCAACACATAAAATCTTACAAAAGTAAAGGGAGCGGGAGCCCCCTAGGTGGCTGCCTGGCTCAGTCGGTGAAGTGTCTGCCTTCGGCTCAGGTCATGATCACAGAGTCCTGGGTCAAGCCCCGCATTGGGCTCCTGCTCAGTAGAGGGTCTGCTTCTCCCTTCCCAGCTCCCTCTGCTTGTGCTCTCTGTCAAATAAGTAAATAAATCTTAAAAAAAAAAAAAAAAAAGAAAGCTTTAGAAGAGCCTTTGATACAATCTACATACTATCTGGGAGAGAATCTTGGATTTTAGTGGAATCTTGCTTCTATGGCATAATGGATTTAATTTAACATTTGAAGTATCATGTGGTAACTGCATGGTGCCATTTAAATTATTTGCAGAAAAGTCTTTGATTTTTGAAATGTAACCAAGATGAGGTGACAGAATCACCCAAGTAGTGGAATGCTAGAACCTGGCGGCTACAAGTTGATTCTATGGCAGGACCCTCATTATTTCCCCTTTAAGGGTGGGCAGAAATTATCTCGTTGCGGAGCCAGACGCTAACTCGTGTTGTGGCCCTTGAATTGCTAGCGAATGGATGGGAATGGGGGCCCTAAAGAGTGGGAGCCCATTGCTGCCTGTGGCGGCTGGTGCTGGCTCTCCTGGGGGCTGCGTGGCGAGGGCTTCCGTGGACCCGGTCGCTTCCCTGTGGAGTGGGTGCGTCCCGTGCTCACACCACTGAGTTCATGACACCAGCACTGAACCAGGGGTCAGAAGAAAATACAAGGTAGAGGTTGTCAAGAGAGGCAAATGGAACAGGATTATCACGGCTGGCAAAACGGGGTGCCTGCTGGCTTGCGGGTCTGAGAGGTCCCAGAGGGAAAGCCCAGGGGGTGCACGAAGGGCCAGCATGGAGGCTGCCTGGCTGAGTGCCTTCCGCACTCGCCACCTGTCCATGTCCGGCCGGAGACGGCAGCACGTGGTCTTCAGTAGGAAATGGGACCTTGGGGAAAGATGAGGCTCAGTGCAGATGGCCCCATCAGAGGTACGCCTGCCGCTCCGACCACGCAGGGTGTGTCTGCCACCAATGTCCTGTCGGCAAGCAAGGGGGCTGCACACTCTGGGAGGTCTTTGCCGGTTCCAAATTTCATCTTTTTGCTTGCAAAGCGAGTAACTAACAATTACTGCAATTGCTGCAAAGTGCTGTAAAAAGGCAGATGATCGTAAACGTTTGGTTTTTAATTAAACAGAATTTACTTTCTATCCTTGGAGACAAAAAATACATGTTCCCAACTTTAGATATATTGCAATTTATTTAAATTTTGTTTTTTTTCCCCTAATGTTAAGCTTTGGGCTAAAATAAAAGTGCAACTGCTCAAAGAAAAGAAAAAAGAAGTGGGACTTTGATAAAAATACCTTGGAGCCTCTCTCCAAGGAGCAGACACTTCATTTGTGTGGTTTGAGTGTTGATTTTGTTTTTATGAGTGGACAGGGGTGGATTACTATAAGTCTCCTGCAGTTGCTGCTGTGGTGGGGGGGCCACATTCTCCCCCAGAGCATCTTCAGGAGGTTTTAGCGCTTTTTGAGGGACAGCAGATCAGCGTTTTGCACCAGCTGAAAGTTGGCCGAGAAACACCTTCGTGTGGTGTGCATGTGCGGGTGTGTGTGGACGGAGAGCCATGAGCCGTGTGCCGTGTTCGAGGTGGCCGGGATCTTCAGGGACTGTTTCTTTGTCCGTTTGATTGGCGCTCTCAGCACCGTTTTCTAGCCCGTAGGAATGCGCAGTTCCTTCCCAGTGGGACATGGCAAGGTTTTTAAAGAAAGTACAAATTGGGGCGCCTGGGTGGCTCAATCGTTAAGCATCCTCCTTTGGCTCAGGTCATGATCCCGGGGTCCTGGGATCGAGCCCCGCATTGGACTCCCTGCTCCACGGGAAGCCTGCTTCTCCCTCTCCCACTCCCCCTGCTTGTGTTCCCTCTCTCGCTGTCTTGCTCTCTGTCAAATAAATGAATAAAAATCTTTAAAAAAAATCTTTAAAAGTTGTCGGCAATGTCAGAAGTTTAATAAATTGGTTGGTTATCTGCAAATATATCCTTACTTGAATATACCAGGAATCTTTCTCATAAAAGAAATTCTGTGGTAAATCATTTTGAAATGTGTATAATCTTTTGGCGAATGTTTTGAGGTTATAACAGTGCCATCTGAGTTGTAGAAATTACTTTGTGTGCTCTTTGTTCCTGAGTTAAAGCCTCTCTTGTGTGTGCCCCAAGCCGTGTGTGCGCTCGTGCTGTCCCCTGGGCCTGGCCGCTGCCACCGGGTGCGGCCCTGAGGTGGGTTTGGGAGGCTTGATTCTGAATGAAGCTGCAGGGCCAGGGGTGGCTGGTGTGAGGGAGTCAGGGCCATGGGGACTTCTGCACCACTCCGGGTGGAGGGGGGGGTGGGACTCAGGAGTCTTCACTGGTACCGTCAGCTGTTTCCTTCAGGGCTTGTTCAGCACAGCAGTTGTGGGGGCGGAGTGAAGCAAGGATGTCCACAGGAACAAAAGTGACAGGTGGTCCTTTTCACTCGAGGCGGGACAGACTGTGAGTGTCTCCCCGTCATCTGCAGAGTCCCAGTGATAGGGTGCACACCCCAGGAGAGGTAGCCTGTGCCACCGTTAGCTCTTCACCCCTGGGGGACAGCCCTTTCCAAATTTGTCTGTTTTTATATCCTGTAGGTTCCGTTCTCACCATGTTGTTACCGCTCTGTTCTGTATCTGAAATCCTTGTACAATAGCCAGCCCTGGCAGTATGGTATGAAAATCTCAAGGGCCCCGTAGGCTTTCAGGGTGCCAGGGACACACCTGGTCAGCCAGGTTCACACTGCTGAGGCTGGGAGTTGAGGCCCTGGGCCCTCGGGCACGGCTGTCCCTGGCCCTGTCCATGTTCCTTGAGGACAGTGCAGTGTTTCTGTTCTGACTCCTCCCTCCTGGGCTGCCACCAGTTGGCCCTGCTCCTGTCCGGCATGGGACCAGACACCCCAGAACGGGGAGCACAGGTGGGACTTGCATTCCTCCCAGACTGGCTGGCACGCGCTGTTCGCCATGCTTCGTCCCGTGGAACGTGTGTGCACCCGTGGGCTTTTGTCTTCATGGGGGGTTGGGTTTCTAGGACTGAGCTTGTGATGTGTGTGCATAGACGTGTGCGTGGCTCTTTAGAGGCCTTGCGATGGGGTGTCCCTTCATGAGCACTAATGACCGGCACATGGGGGCTGAGAACCTTGACTCGGACATGAGAAATGGTGCTTCAAGAAAACCTGTTGCTTCTGTGAGGAGAGAGTGAATGTAGTCTGCGCATCTGAAACTTTTCTTGATGGTGACTTAAAAGTGTAAATGTCTGTTTTCTGGTGGGTTCTTCCACGTCTTGTGCTCAGGCTCAGGTTTTCTGAGTTTTTTCTTTTGTTTCTCTCTGTGCATGTGTGTGCATGTCTTAAAACAACTCAGATTTATCATCTTACCGTTCTAAAGGCCACACTCCTTCTGGAAGCTCTGGAAGGGTGTTTCCTGCCTCTTCCAGGTTCAGGGGCCGCCACACTCCATAGTTTGGGGCCCTTCCTCACTCCTTGTCCCCGAAGCCAGCTCCCCTGTGGTGACACTGGGCCCACCTGCACAGCCCAGGATGGTGGGCAGGAGCGGACAGCTCTGGGGGCACAGGGCTTTTTGGGGTCTGTGCCCTGTTTTTTTATCTTTGTGATCTTTGTGGCTATATGGGAAATAAAGATTATTTCTTGCTATCATTTGACTTTTTTTGATTGCTAGAAACAAACTTAGTGCCTGATTCATTTTTGTTTCTAAGAAAAAGGGTGAAACTATAGTTTTAGCTGAAATCATACCTTTTTTTTGTGGTTTTTTAGTTTTTATTAAAGAGCATAAAACCTTTTAAAATAAAATCTGTTCACTTACCTTTTCGTGGAATGAGCTATTCTGGGACAATGAAATATTACGACACTTATTCCGTGTATCTCTCACAAGACATGACTGTCAGCGTCAGCAGTCGGGGACACATCTTTCTTCCCATTCAGAGCCGACTTGGCTTTCTTGGTGCTCTGGCGCCTAGACTGCGTTCACCCAGCACGGCCTCCTGTTGGCTGGCGTAGGAAGAACGGAAGTGTCTGCAGCCCACGGCTTCTCGCGCTATGTTCGCTGCTGTGGGGCACGGGGTTTTGAGCCCAGGATTGATGGTGAGCAGGTCGCAGATGTGTCAGAAGTAACGTAGGACTGCCAGGCGCTCCGTGACCTAGCTTGGTGGAAGTGGCTGAGTTGTACTTAATAGCTGAGGGGGGCTATGGCTTGAGCCTCAGCACCAGAGTCTTGGGGCCAAGACTCACTGAAGGGTCATGATGGGGCCTGCAGCTTCTGGGCCCTGCCCTTGGGACTCATGTACTGACCTGTGCACTTGTTTCTCAGGTCCGGGCCCACCAGCTAGTCCTGCCGCCATGTGATGTGGTGATCAAGGCTGTGGCCGACTACGTCCGCAACATCCAGGACCCGTCAGACTTGGATGCCGTAGCTAAAGATGTGTTCCAGCATTCTCAGGTACAGCGCAGGCTTGGCGCACTCTGCACAGTGGGGGCGGGTGTGGCAGGGCCCCTCACCTGGCTCCCGGCCTCCCCTGCGGCTACACTGGGAGGGCGCAAGGTAGACAGCTGGGAGGTTTGCTGCTCCTGCATTCTCCATCATGATTGATAACATTTCTCCTGAGAAGACAGATCTATCATGTGGGCCGAGTGGAATTGTGCACATGACTTGTCCCTCCCTTTAGGTGATGGTCAGGGATTTCTTCTTTTTTGGGGGAAGCAGGGAACGTGAGCGAGTCGGGGTTAATAGAGGACATGAGGTTGGTGTGATCTCCCATGTCTCTCTGGAAAGCTGAAACCATTGTCCTGCTTGCTGGAGACAGGACAGAAAACCTCCCCAGGCCGCACAGGGACGTGGCCCGGAGAAGCCCGGGACTCCTGAGGGCTGCATTGCAGACCCGGGTCTCCTGACGGGGTGCCAGTCTGTGTTACCCATGTCACTCTGAGAGGATTAGTGTCTGATTTGTTGCTTTTCCTGGAAGATTTTAATGTCACTTTAAACTCTTCTCTAACTTGAAAAGCTGTAGATGATACATGTGCTGAATTGTGAAAGTATGTTCATGCACAGGACCAGTGGCATGCAATTTACAAAGGTTTTCCTACGTTTATTCCAGTCTAGAACAGATGACAAAGTTATTCGATTTAAGAGAGCAATTGGATATTACTCAGCGACTAGTAAGCCTATGGCATTTCACCCAGCACATTACTTAGGTAAGTAAATCCAAGCCTCTGTGACGGACGCTGACCATGCAGTCACCAGAGAGGTTAAAACGTGGGCCCCGTAGTCTTGTAGTTTTATTCGTCTAGAGTGAGGTTTCCGCCACTGGCATGAGTGCATGGAGCTGCACCTCCTGGGCAGACTCCTCAGTGGCCCCTAAAGGTTGAGGAGCAGGACAGACAGACCTGGGAGTTGGGGGCGGGCCAGGAGGTGTCCACGGGGTGCTCTGCGGGGAGGCCTCTGGACCTGCAGATGCCTTCGTAAATCCACTTCAGAAAAGCAGATGGGTGTTTTCTCTTTTGCTGCCTCTTTTTTGGTTTTTGGTTTTTTGTTTGCAAAAGACCAAATTGAACTCAGAGATTTGAAATTGGGGAATAAAAGAAATTATAAGCTGTTTCCTGGTGGTGCTCTCATGGGAGGCTGTGAAGCCCTGAGTCTATGTGCCAGACTTCTCCCTGAGTCCGATTGCCTCTGTCTAGGTCTGGAGCCATGAAGCTCTGAGAGACTGTGCTGCCCACTGTTGTTTCTGTTGTGTTTGCTTCCATGTTCCTGGTGTGGTTTGAGAGCTCCTCTGTGTACTGGTTTCAGAAGATTAGTCCCAGGTTTGAAATGTCCCAGTCAGTTGTACCTTATGGGGTATGTTCATCAGCTCACTCAAGCGTAGAGCTGCAGTGTGCGTGTAGGGCCCCTAGGTCTGGAGGAGTGTGGCTGCCGGTGGTGGTCACTGTGGGGGCCCAGTGCCCAAGGAGGGCGGGGCTGCAGGCTGCTCTGCTGGCCTATCCGCTGGGACCCACGGTCAGGGCTTCTGTCGGTGGGGCTCATCCTCCTGCTGCTCTGGCCCCCTGCAGCCATTGTGCTGTTTAAACTACTTGGCACGCACAGTCCCAGCATGCTTGGGACGAACTCTCAGCTGTGCCCCTGCTTTCCCCACGGCTTGGTCCTGTGGCCTTGGCCCTGTGTTGTCCAGGCCCTGCTGGCTTCTGCCGGGGAAGTTCCATGCCGGCTCCCACCTCAGGGCCTCAGTGCCCTGCACTCAAGAGTGCGCCCTGACCTCCTGTGCCTGGGACACTCAAATTTCTGAGATCCCGGCTTCACTGTCACTTGTCTGAGGCCATCAGCCACCAGCCATCATGTCTCAGCACCTTGCTTTAATCCTCTGCACACTGCCTCCCACCCCTCCCCCAGTAATGTCAGGTCTGCAGCCAGGGCCACACTTGCCACCTTCACCCTCATGCCCCCCATGGGAAAGTATTTGAGTGACTCAATCCAGGAAAAGCTGTTGAACTGGAACAGCGAGAGGATCGTGATTTGGGGTCACTGTGCTGGACAGAGGGAGATGTGGCAGGCAGGTCATGTGGGTTGCTTTGTTCCTATGGCAGGGGCACCCAGTGGACACTGTTGAGACAGGTGACAGGCAAGGTCCGACACCAGGGATGGACATCCTGACCCCATGGTCTCCGGCCTCAGGCTTCCTGGTTCTGGAGATGGGTATATGTGACATGCTCTGTGGCCGCTTGTCACAGGGCAGACATTGTCTCTGTTCTCAGAGGGACAGTGGCTGGGAAAGGCAAGGAATGGTCTGCAGCCACAGAGCCTGGGGGGAGCTCCCAGAAGGGCATCTTTGCCTCTCATGTGTCTGAGAGGACACCTGGTCCTTGTGTGACAGGGTAGTTGAAACAGTCACTCTAGTGCACTAGGGACTAGAACATTTACTCAGGAGGAGGCAGGCAGGGAGGTCAGGGTGGAAAAGGGCATGAAGCAGCGTTTGGTGCTGGTCTGAGCTGCTCACAGGATTGACGATATGTTGAAGAGGTGAGATGGGCTTTAAATTCATGTTTAAATTTGAGCTGCCCTTTTTTTTTTTTTTTTTTTAAAGATTTTATTTATTTGGGAGAGAGAGAGCAGGAGCAGGGGGAGTGGGAGAGGGAGAATCAGACTCCTCGCCGAGCAGGGAGCCCGATGGCAGGGCTCGATCCCAGGACCCTGAGATCATGACCTGAGCCAAAGGCAGTCGCTTCGCTGACTGAGCCACCCAGGTGCCCCTGAATTTGAGCTTCTTAAAAACTTACATGTTGTACAAAGTGCTCTCGTGTTTTTACGTTGTCAGACAATACGTGAGGGAAGTATTTTATGGATGAAGGTGATGCTCCTGGAATTTAGTTTCACTTCCTGTCCGTGGGTTTTGGGGAATGGTGGTGGGTTGGGGAAGAATATGTGGTGTTGGGGGAGGTATTTTTAATAGTTATATCACCCATGTGGGTGATAACTACTGTGTGTTGCGTTAAAGCCTTCTCCTCAGGGTCTCCTGGTGCTGCTGACAGTGGCGGAGACCCGAGCCGTGGGGCACAGAGTTTGGGGCAGCTGGAAGTGCAGGCCGGCAGCTGTGTGGCCTGGAATGTGGGCTGACTGGGGATGGAGGTTGGGGCAAGACTGGGAGGAAGGTGTATTTCAAGTCACAGATACACAATTTGGAGCCAGCAGAAGTGGATTCATGTAAAATCGTTTTTGTTGTTTCCCTGACAAGTATAAAGAAACAAAATAATGTGGAGTGGTGCCCGTCCCTCTTGCCTGAACGTGCTGTTAGGCTCCCGCTGTGGAGCTGAGTGAGAATGGAAAGCCTAGAAGGAGCAACGTGGGATTGGGGAGAGGCTTTCTTGGTATTCCATGTGAGAACCCAAGACATATTTCCCGTAAAAACATTTTTGCGAGCAGTAGGTAGGTCCTGAGTGGTCTTTTCTGACCTTGGTCCATTATGTTATTCTCTGGGAAGACGCATTCAGAACTTTGACAGCCGGTGTTGGAACATAACTTTATCATTCATTAGAACTTGTCTGTGTGAATCATCTTAGAAACTGAAGTATGTGTAGTTTTAAAGACATTTAAAACATTGTATTAGCCCCTTGGCGGCTATTGGGAGTAAAAATGGGGAGAGTTGACTCTAACCAGGGGTTTCTAAACCTGGCTGGAGTTGAGGTTCCAGGCCAGAACTGTTGCATCAGGATCTTCACTGGGCCTCCATGATCCAGGAACACCTTCCTGGCCTGGCTCTGGTCAGGGAGACCGGCACTGGGCAGGGCTGCTGTGTTGGTGCCTCTTCTGAGCCCATGGGCCTCTGCAGCACTGAGGAAGCCTCTGCTCCCCACACTGATGTAGAGGATGTAGAATTGACAGGAGGGCCTGCACACCCTGTTGTGCCCTGGTGCTGGGAGGCCTGGTCTGCACAGCGTGTGGTATTGTTCAGGGTGAAAAATGGGTTCCAGTCCGTACTGTCTTTGCATAGTGGACCCCCAGAAATGATCTGTTTTTAGATGGGTTAAAATCAGTTGCAGGTGAGATTAGTATTCATTTTGTAAACATTTATTGTGTCAGAAACACCGTGTTGAGACCAGGGACCTGGAGATGGTTAAGATTTTGTGCTTTCTGTCCCAGCACATAATGCCTCCCATGACCACAGAGTCCTATCTGAATGTAGGTGCACATAAGAGCGGTCAGAATGGAAACTTGTCAGCACGGAATCTGAAGATGCACACGCTGTGTCTTCCTGGCCTCTTCAGTGAAAAGTAGCTGAGCTCCCACTGCACGCTTGTCAGAACGGCCAACATCCGGAACGCCGACGCCACCAGATGCTGACGAAGATGTGGCGCAGCGGGAGTGTGTGTTGCTGCAGCGGCGGCTGCGGAAGACAGTGTGACAGTGTCTCAGAAAACGCAACACACTCTTTCCATGTGGTCCAGCAGCCAGGCTTCTCCGTGTTTACCCCGAGGAATTGGAAACTTCTGTCCACACGGAACTTTGCACTTTATTCGTAATTGCTGAAACTTGGAAACATCCAAGACATCCTTCGGTGGGTGGTGGACAAATAAACTGTGGTCCATCCAGGCAATGACATATTATTCAGTGCTACCAAAAAATGGGTTATTAACTCACAAAGACCTTGAATACATTCACTGAGGGAAGCCACTCTTCCAGGCTCCCTGCTGTATGATTCCAGCTGTATGACATTCTGGAAAAGGCACAGCCATGGAGCCGGTGGAAAGTCAGCGGAGGGATGAATGTAGGCAGAGCGTGGAGGATTTTGTGTGATGCTATAGTGGTGGATATGTGTTCTTAAAAATTCATCCAAACCCATAGCATGAGCAGCGAGCTGTGGGCTCTGGTTCATAATTGTCACGTATCAGAAATAGACCATCTGTTGAATACGTATCATATGAATGCAAGGGGTGTGTTTTCTGCTTAGGTTTTCTCTAGACCTAAAACTGCTCAGAAATATTAATTAAAAAGACCAAAAACTCCTTGATGTGTCTGGCCCATGCCAGCACTTGCTGGTTCTGGACAGTGTGGTAGAGCAGACGTGCCATCCTGGGCCTTGCACACGAGTGAGACGCGGACTCGTATGGCTCAGGTGCAGGCAGTTCCAGGAAGACCGGGAGACTAAGCTGGTACCGGTTAAGTCAGGGCTCGGTTCTGCTTGACTGAGTTAATGTTGAGCTGTGGCCTGAAGGTAGAGCAGGAGTTTAGTGAGGTGGCGATGGGGAGGAGGTCTGTTCCACACGGAGGAGACCCGAGGTGGTGGCGCTGGGCATGGAAGCAGTGGAAGGGAGTGGCTGGAGCCCAGGACGCAGGGAGCAGGCAGGGGTGCTGGTGTGGCTGTGGGCAGTGGCCACCGGCCAAACACAGCCTGAGGCTTCAGACTCTCTAGGGGCTGTGAAAGCTCATTGAAGGATTTATAGTGTTCACAGTTGTTACTTTGTACCTGTTGCACACCAGGTGTGTTTGGCACATGACCAATAGCCTGTGTGCAGTTAATGAAACCAGCCTCAGTGCGAAATGACCAGTAGCCCGTCTCCCCATCAGCTTCCCCTGCCCACTGCCTCCCTGAATTCTGTGTCAGTCGTCCCCTTTTCTTTATTTTGTCTGTACCCCAAGTGCTAAGTGGAGACGTGGAAGTAGGCGGGCTTCCCTGGGGGTTCTGTGGACAGAGTCGCTCGGGTCA